CCCCTCAGGATGATGAGTTAAAAATTCTTTGAAATACCTCTCAGCTTCTGCCTTAATCGCATCACCTCTAATAACTGAACCATCTTGCAGTTTCAACTCATTAATAGCATTGCGAACCTCTCTTATTTTCACAGCATTATGGAAAACTTTCGTGTTTTGATCCCCAACTGAGAGCCAATGAAGTTTGGACCTCTGCTTGAAAAACTTTTCCTCCAAGTCAGCTAGCAGCTGCCATCGCTTAACTGCTTCAGTTTCTTCTCTCAACGCTTCAACATTAGACCTCTCCATAGTAAGTGTCTGCTTCTCACAGAGAGTTTCAAATGCCTCCTTCACTCTTCTTGGCAAATCTCCAAACTTACTTCTACTTAGCTCTCTCAAAGGATATTTGAAAGCTTTAAGTTTCTTCATAAGCCTGAACATTGCTGTTGTTGATTGGAACAAAGGCACTGTTCCACTCCAAAACTCTTGTAACAGACTTTGAAATTCTCTCATTTTTCCCACCGCATTCGTGAACTTAAAAGGTCTCCTTCTCTGACATTCTTCTCTTTGTATTTGCGTTCTACTTCTTAAGTGATCGGAGCAACCACCAGAGTCAAACACGCTATAACACTGAGAGAAGTTATGCATCCAAACATCATTTACTAAAATTCGATCAATCTTCTTACATATCAGCCCTGTTTCTCGTTTATTACACCATGTATACCGTGGCCCTTGATAGCTGTTATCAGATAAACAACAGTGCCTAGCCACTCTTTAAAAATCCCTCATCCCTCCAGAGATGCTTGGATCATTCGCAAACCCTGAATGATCTTCTCCTTCTAACACTTCGTTGAAATCTCCCATGATAATCCATGGTTTATTTCTGAACATAGAAGAATCCTGATGGTTACACATGTCCTCCCAAAGTTCTCTCCTCTCCTCAATGGTATTTTTTGCATAAACAAAAGAACAAAAAAACTCCTCTTCTAATCCTTGCATCTTAACCGAAACAGAAATTATTTGATCACTCTTGAAAACCGGCGTCAGCCTGATGCTCGATTTCCAAACCACCCAAATCCTTCCCAACCTGTTGTATTCATAATTCGACATAAACTCCCATCCTTGAAAAACTTCTGAAACTATTTTATTTGCCTTCCCTTCTTTTACTCTTGTTTCCAATAAACTCCCAAAACTCAACCCACTATTCTGCCACCATCTGCTAATCACTGAATGTTTCGCTGGCTTGTTAAACCCTCTCACATTCCAAGCGAAGCTAGCCATTAATGATTGTTTTTTCGAGTTCCTTTCCTACTCAAGTTACCAGGTAAAGTTACCTTAGCAGCTTGAGCCCCCTCTGAAAGAAACTTGTGTCTCGCTTTTGAATCTCTTGGTAAACTCTGTCTCTGAGTGTTGTTTACTTCTTGCTTCCCCTCCGAACTCTTTTCAGTAGCCTCCAAAATTTTTTCCTCCACCTCAGTTTCTTTCCTATCCAAAGTTTTCACTTCCTGATTCACTCCATCCAATATTTCAGTCTCCTCATCCTCTGGAACACTAAGTGCAGAGTATCTTGAAGGAGTAATAATCTTAATTCCATCGTACTCCACCCCTTTCTTCTGCTTCCCCGAGTTACGTCCAAATTTACCAGGTGTCGTCCAATCCTCAACAACTTGACCTTCTTCCACCTCACTATCCTCACTACTCTTCGCCTTCTCTACACTCTCCGTCGCCTTTTTCATACTTTTTGAGTTAGATATCTCCTTCACTTCACCAATAACATCTTGTTTCTCCTCAGATCCCTCCACATTGTTCTTCTTGACACATTTAGTCTCCAAATGACCCCATTTCCCACAGCCCTCACATCTATCTGGAAGCCAAGGATAACTGTACTCCACTGTGATATCCTCCCCATTGATCTTATAATCAATCTTAGCCGGCAAAGGTTTAGATAAATCTGCTTTCACACACACTTTCGCTACAGCAAAATCTTTACAAGCAATTGTTTCCGGGTGTAATCGATCCGGTATACCTGCTGGACTTGCCATGAAGCTGAGCCCCTCCCATGAGTACATGTTCATCGGAACATTCACCAGATGCACCCATAGAGGAGTCTTCTTGTTTAAATCATCTTCAACCGGGGACCATTTCGAAGCAACCATGGGAATCCCTGCAATATTCCACATACCTCTGCGAATCACCTTCTCCCTTACTACAGCACTCGGAATCCTAATCCTCATTGTTGTAGCATCCATTTCAAATACATCAAGCTTTTGATCCTTGTCTCCGAACGCCCAAATTTTGTTAACAATCATATGCACCTTCGCCACATGTGGAGCAGTCTCCAAGAACTTAGCAATCACAAAGTCATCCCATAGCAAATTTGCCTTCTCGAAAATTTCCGATGGAACTGTTACCGATTTCTTCCCTTCCAGATCCGAGATTTCAAACTCATACTTTTTTAAAACCTTCTTCTGCTGTGCCGCCTCAACCCAGGATTGTTTAGGTACAATCGGAGGTATCGGAACCTCCTGTGACTCTTGTGCCTCCATCCACCCGCCGGAGAAGACAGTCGGAACCGATCGATCTCGAGAAAACTCAGAATCGCCTTAGAAATCGCCCTTTTTTTCTTTTTTCAAAACGCTGCGTTTTTCCCCGAGCCACGGTTATTGTATGGCAACATCGTAGATAAAGTTCAAATCTGCCATTAAGAATCTTCTATTCCAGGTTTCAAGACATTAATCACGACATCCTCTTGTTAGCCTCTTAGCCTTGCGCCACAGTTCATGGATCGATTCTAAGTAGAGAAGAATACATAAACAAAATGGAGGAAGAACATACTTGTGCTATTGAAGCCGATTCATTTATCAAAACAGTATACAGTCAGATTGAGAAGTGACAAAGTCATGGGTTTGCGCCGACATGACTAAAGCCTTCGACTTTCTTCCTCTGATCATCTTCTTAGAAGATTCTCGCAACTGGAAACTGCAATGGCAAAGAGAGATGGCGTTTGCCAATTTTGGTATCTAAGACATAAAGAGAAGATGAAGGAGACAGATTCAGTGAAGAGAGAAAATAGACTTGAAACTATTGAAGAAGCGGTAACCGCGCGCAACGGAAAGCCCATTTTTGTATTAATGCAAATTGGAGACGGCTACGTTATCTGGAGAACTCGACTGCTGAGATACAAATGTTCAAGGTGAGAAGATGATGAAACCCTATATCTTGTCTAGCTTTCAAACACAGAGACGTTATGGAAAGGTGATCGATCGTTGTTTGCGATGATTTATGGAACTTGCGTCGTCTGATGTTCAAAGGTCTCAGGCAAGAAGACAACTAAAAACCTAATTTTCAGTGGGCCTAAATGTTTGAGAAAGCCCAAATGTATCTTAGATTCATATAAACTCATGAAAAAGGAGGACACGTGTTTTAAAACCCCCCAAGGAGAGAAAAAATCCCAACTTTATTAGTAAAGACGATATGATTCAAATTAAGATATCAAAAATCCATGCATCACAGAGATTCATATCAATTATCAAGTATATAATAAATCAGAGAAATGTACCTAGTCCTATAGTAGCGTGAAAAAGTCAAGATTATAATAATAATAATAATAATAATAACTAGGTGTTTTGCCCGCACTTGCGGGCATAATTCTCTTATGAATATTTTTTTAGTTGATGTTTCATTAATTTAAACATCAACATAGTAAATTATTATTTATGTTTTCAAAAAGTAAAAATCAAAAATCAAATAATTATCAATGACAAAACTCAAATATCATAAAAATTTAAAAGAATATAAATCTATAACTATTTTTCTTGATTTATATTTAATTACAATATTTATATCTTAATTTTAATTTTTATATTAGAAAAACATATTTTCAAGATAACAATATAATGCATAAGTTTATTTTCTAAAAATATAATATGATAATTTCTTTAACTATATAATAATTATATAAGATTACAGAAATTATGACATATAGTTAAAATTACCTAAAATCATTGAGAACTTAATGAATCAGCAAATTCACTTCTTAAATAATTTTTCTTGAGTGATGATTTATATTTAATTAATAATAGATAATTTTCTATTTTACTTTTAAATTGTATAATATAAAAATATATTTTCAGGATAACAACATAATACATAAGAATTACCATATTCTTTAAAAGTATAATATTCTTAGTGTAAATTTATTTCAATTATAGAATAACTACAACTTTTTATATCTTAATTTTAAATTTCTAATAGAAAAATATATTTTCAAGACAACAACTTAATACATAAGAAGTATTTTATTTTCTAAAAATCTAATACTATTAGTATAATATTTTTAAAATATATAATAAATTAGAAATAAAATTATATAAATTGATAAATTATCAAAATTAACTAAAATCATGGAAAATATGACAAATCAGCAAAAATCAAATTTCCTTCTTAAATAATATTATAGATTTTTTACATGTTAATTTAAATTTTATAATAGAAAAATATTTTTCAAGATAACAGCATAATCCATAATGATTATCTTATTTTTTTAAAAAAATATTAAATTATTAATATAAATTTGTTTTAGTTATATTTAAATATTAAATTATTAATATAAATTTGTTTTAGATAAACAGAATAATGTTTATATCTTAATTTAAAATTTAAGTTTTATATATAAAAGTATATTTCAAGATAACAACATAATTCACAAGAATTATCTTATTTACTAAAAATATGATATATTCATATAGATTTGTTTTATTTACAAATAAAATATATATAAATATTAAAAATATGATAAATAAAAAAAATTACCTAAACTTATAGAGAACATGACAACTACGCAAATTTACTTCTTAAATAATAGTATAGATAACCACGTGGGGAACAAAGGGTTTAACCGAACCGAACCAACCTAATGCCCCATTCACAAACATAAACCGAAGCGGTCTAAAATTGCTAATCACAATGTAAATCTCAGTTAATAAAATCCCCTTTTTTTGCATTTCCGGCTTCGCACTCCACACAGAGACAACAACAAACGAGAGTCCTCTTCTACTCTCCATCTCCTCTACCTCACCAACCCTCTCCGTCGATCCTCAGCCGTATATCTCCGACGCGACGGCGTATACTCACTGAAACTTGATTTCACATCTCTGTGGTATCCTTCTTCATGCGGATTAAATTAGGTCTGAACTGAATCGTGGATGGGTCAGAAGAAGAAACCCCACGCTCCTCCTCGCTCTAAACCTCAGACGATGTTGGAGGTTCCGCCTCCACCGTCATCTGAGGTTTCCCCTTGTACCTCCCACGAGCCGTCGAATTCGGCTGAAATCAAGCTCGAGTGCGAGAAGGCGCTGACGTCATTCCGCCGCGGAAGCTACAACAAGGCGATTCGTCTGATGAAGGAATCATGCTCTCGCCACCAACACTCTGCCCTAATTCACCGTGTTCAAGGCACTGTGTGCGTGAAGGTCGCTTCCGTCTACGAAGACGCAGCCACGAAACAGAGGTACCTCCGTAGCGCAATCGAGTCCGCCAGAAAGGCTGTGGAGCTATCGCCCAACTCTATCGAGTTTGGCCATTTTTACGCTAACCTGCTCTACGAGGCTGCTAACGATGGGAGAGAGTACGAGGAGGTTGTGCAAGAGTGTCACCGTGCTCTCTCCATTGAGAATCCCATCGATCCTGCCAAAGACAGTCTTCAGGATGAGAGTCAGCATAAGGTGTTGACACCTGAGGCTCGTATTGCGAATGTGCAGGATGAGCTTAGGTCGCTGATACAGAAGTCTAATCTTGGTTCCTTGTCCACGTGGATGAAGCATCTGGGGAACGGGGAAGGGGAGTTTCGGTTGTTTGACATGAGGAAGATGGCCGAGGATCCTATTGAGAGTAACTTGGTCCAGACAAGGAGGCCGAACGAGATTAAGAAAGCTACAAAGACTCTTGAAGAGAGGAGGAAGGAGATTGAAGTTAGGGTCGCTGCTGGTAGATTGTTGCAGCAGAAGTCTGAATCTTCGTCGGGTGATAGTGTTAACAACAAGGGATCAGATCCAGGATTAGGCGCTGGGGGTCAGAGAGGCGGGGAGAGGAGGAAGCATGGACATATAAGGAAGAACGGGACTACAGTAGAGAGAAGAGATCGGGTTAGGTCATTTTGGGAGTCTACAAGCGAAGAAATGAAGAAAGAACTGCTCAGAGTTAAGGTTAGTGATCTTAAGAATCACTTTAGTGCATCAAAGGATGGAAATGCGCATGATATAATAAGTGAAGCTGTGTCCTTTTGTGAAGCTAATAAGACTTGGAGGTTTTGGTTTTGCTGCAAGTGTGTTGAAAAGTTCAAGGATTCTGAGGCTCATATGCAGCATATTGTAGGGGAGCATATGGGTAACGTTTTACCTAAGATGCATATGGTATTGCCTCGAGGTCTCAACAGTGAGAGGATTGAGATGCTTCTTAGTTCTCCATGGAAACCATTGGATTTCCCTGCTGCTGTGAAATTGCTTTGTAACCAGCAGAAAATCCAAAATACTGAGTTTAATGAGTTTCACGCTGGAGATTATATGAACAATGGTGACGACTGCTTCCAGGATGCGTGGAATGATACTTCACCAGAGAAAGAAAACATTGGAGATGTTTGCAACGGTTATTATGATGAAAATGAGTCTGAAGAGGGTAGGCTGTCAGATCCGTTTCAGTTTCCTGATGAATGGCCGATATCTGATGATCCTGAACGTACAAAGCTCCTTAAAAACATCCGTGCAGCCTTTGAGCTACTTATCAAACACAATTATTTAGCTACCAGCCATTATGATAAGGTGATACAGTTTACTGTGGATGAACTACGGAATCGACCTTCAGTTTCTCAATTCTTAAATCGTGGTTTGGGTCAGTCACCCATATGCATACGCTTCTTGGGAGCTACCCAGCTCAAGAAAATTCTTAACTTCCTGCAAGACTTGTCACAGACCTGTGGGGTGAGTAGATATTCGGAACAAAGTAACCCCAATGATGAAGTAAATAATTTTGTTGACCTGGGTCTTCAAATTACAGAAGAGATTTTTCTTAATGCTGAAGAGTCATGTCTTCTTCTGGATGAAAAATTGCTTAGTTCAGAGTGCATCCAAGAGAAACATATGGGCTCAGCATTGAATACTGTAGATATTGCTAATGCCAAAAATGTGTCATCTGGTGCGGATTGTTTTCTTTCATGGATCTTCTCAGGACCCTCTAGCGGGGAACAAACTGCGTGCTGGATGCGCACAATGGAAGAAAAAACAAATGAAGGACAAAAGACCATGGAGATTCTTGAGAAGGAGGTCTGTGACTTGCAGAACCTCTTTGAGAGAAAATGCGAGCACTTAAGCTACGAGGGAGCACTGCAAACTGTTGAGGATCTTTGTCTTGAAGAAGGCCGGAGAAGAGAGACCTCAGCAGAGTTTACCCATGAAAGCTATGATTCAGTGCTGAGAAAACGAAGGGAAGAGCTAGATGAGAGTAGTGCCCATGACTTTATTAGTAGTAGCTTTGAATTAAATGCTATAAAAAATGTTTTGAAAGACGCAGTCACTCTTAACCACAATCAGCTTGGATATGAAGAATCATCTACGCGCACAAGTTCTCAGCTACGTGACATAGAATCTGGTGAAGCTGATGAATGGGGGATGAGAGAATCTTTTAGTGAAGCTGACAGTTTCATAGAGACTGCGATCCAGAAACAAAAGGAGCAGTTGTCTGCTGAGGTAACTTTTTCTATCTTTACGCAACACGACTGACAATATTTGATAACTGCTTTTTTCCTAAACAAATACTCCGTATGTGTGTATTACAGCTTAACAGAATCGATGCGCGAATGATGCGCAGTGTTACTGTGGTGCAGCAATTAGAGGCAAAGCTTGGACCTACTTCATCCAATGATTATCAGATAGTACTGTTACCGTTGGTCAGGTCTTACATGCGGGTAAGTATCTAACTCACTAGACCTGTTATATTTCGTTCCCTTTAGGTGTAACGTTCTTTCGGATTTTGATTCCACCTCCCTCTCTCCAGGCAAATTTGGAGGCATTGGCAGAGAAAGATGCCACTGAGAAGTCTGATGCTGCAAGCAAAGCATTTCTAGTTGAGCTCGCTCTTGATTCTAAGAAGGAGGCCCGAGGAAGAAATGATCATTCGAAACACACGCAAGAAAAGTCCAAGGATAAGAAAAAGAATAAACACTCTAAAAAACTGAAGGATTCAAAGGTTTGAACTAATCCGTTTCCGTTGTCTACTTTTTAACCAATTATTGTCTATGTTTGTAAGTAGCTTTAATGTTTTGCTATAGGCTTCTATTGGAAACGACCATCGCTCCAATGTTGATTCAGTTGAGCACAGGTGAAGATCTTCTCTGTACAAAATTTTAGTTTAAATGCTGGTAACCGGGAAAATTCTCGTTCCGAAAATTGCTGGGGAATAATTTTTCTTTGTTGTACTTGATGATTTCTTATTCCAGCCTCCCGTCGGTTGCATCTTTTGGTGCTCCCTCAGAGGCTGACGTTTTTCCTGAAGCTGTTGAAGCTTTAAAAGAACAAGAAGAGGAATTCAGACGCCGAATAGAACTAGAGCTAGAGGAGATAAAACTTGAAGAAACTCTGGAGTATCAAAGAAGAATTGAGAATGAAGCCAAGGAGAAGCATATTGCAGAACAACAAAAGAAATACAGTTCTTTAGTTACAACAACGAGTGGCGCAGAGGCAGTGCATGATATTTGCAGTGATGATTTAGATTTACATGAACAAGAAAAATCCAAAAGTCAGGTAAGCATTGAGTGACAAGGTTGTGGTGTCGCAAATGATCACTTCATTTTAATTTTTAGGTTTCTTGGCTTTACCAGGAGAACCTGGTTCAAAGAAATGGACTACCTCATGACTTGGAAGTGACCCAAGTGTATACAAATGGTGATTTTCGGTCAACAAATCATTGTGGGATATCTGAAGCTGCAACGGTTCAGGATGTGAAATCCCAAAAAGGTTATCAATATCTTAGAATTTGAATATATGTCTCTAATGACCTTTCTGAAACGCTTATATTTTTTTTTTGTATATTGCAGTAGTTGCTAATGGGGTAGCTACCCAAGCTGGTGTTTTCCAATCTGATCAACACATTGGGAGGAGCGGTAGACGCCAAAAAAATTCTAACAAGTTAGTTGGATCTTCCGAGGGCACTGGCAAGGAGAGAGAATCTGAAACTCCGCGTAGCAATGGTGGTAGGTCTCTTCTTTTATCTCATTTTTATTATTCTGTCTGTCTCATGATTTCAGAGAATTATCGGTGTTACGTGGATCTATGTGTTGGAACCTAGAATTATAATTAAAAGTTAGATTTTTGATAAAGATGGAGCTACTGTAGTTACTGTATCTTGATTTTTACTTCTCTGTCAGTAAAGAATGACAGCAGTCACGTTGGTTTCTTGCAAATATTTTCTAACATGATCTTTCAATCGATATTATATTCTGGTGATGGAGATGTGGGAACAAAGACATTAAGACAACTACAAGCTGAAGAGGATGAAGAAGAAAAGTTTCAAGCTGACCTTAAAAAAGCAGTGCGTCAAAGCCTTGGTAGTGTTTCAGTCAATCCTGCTTATATATCATGTTTCTGTATCAAACTTTGGGATTGTTTGCAAGTGTCCATTCTTGTCTATTGTCTGACTCAATCTTCTCCATCTCAGGACACGTTCTTTTATATTAGATGTCAAGTTACCTTTTTTCATTTTGATCCTATTTGTTCTGTGATCATTTTGGAGTGGCATTAACAAAATCCCCTGATATGAAGCATCTGACGCCATAACATTTTGTTTCAACTCAGATGTGTACCAAGGGGGTAGAAATATGAAGTCATGTTTGAGGACACCTCTGAAAGTAAACAGTCATGAAATTTCTGATCCCACAAAGGAGTCTCCGAGCTCTACCGAAATTTGCATATATGGCACAGGTCTTCAGAATGAAGTTGGGGAATACAATTGCTTTTTGAATGTTATCATACAGGTAACCTCCATTCTCAGGAACTGCTTGATTTCTCTGGTATCAATGTCTACAGTATCCAGCTTAAAAGCTTTCTATTTTTAATGTTGTTTTCTTTTGATCTCAGTCTCTATGGAATCTGGGGGTGTTTCGGGCCGAGTTCTTACGAAGTTCAACGTTGGATCACAATCACGTGGGAGATCCTTGTGTCGTCTGCTCATTGTATGAAGTTCTTACTGCTTTAAGCGCTGCTTCAAGGGAAATACGAAAAGAACCTGTAGCTCCTTCAACGCTCAGGATTGCTTTGAGCAACTTGTATCCAGATAGCAGTTTCTTCCAAGAGGTAATAAACTTGTTCTGGTTTCAAATATTTATCCTAATACAGAGTACAATTTTCGTTGCATCAAGGAGCCTAAAGTTGTCCATCAATATGGTTGACAGGCTCAGATGAACGATGCTTCAGAAGTATTGGCTGTGATTTTCGACTGCCTTCATCGCTCATTTGCTCAAAGCTCAAGCGTGTCTGACACAGATTCTTCAGAGAGCAACTGTACAGGTTCATGGGACTGTGCCAACCGCACATGTATCGCCCATTCTCTGTTTGGAATGAATATTTTCGAGCAACTGAATTGCTACAGCTGTGGGCTGGAGTCAAGGCATATGAAGTACACTTCCTTTTTCCATAACATCAACGCTAGTGCCCTACGGAACATGAAGGTGAAAAGAGATACTAACCATGCAAATGTTCATTCGACTTGGGGTTTCATATGTGGTAGTAAATAATTCACTGCTGGTTTACTCACATTATGCCTTAATAGGTTACCTGCACTGAGACTTCATTTGATGAACTCCTAAATCTTGTCGAGATGAACCACCAACTAGCCTGTGATCCTGAAACTGGCGGGTGTGGGAAACCCAACCACATCCACCATTTTCTCACTACTCCACCACATGTTTTTACCATAGGTAATTTTTTCTCGTCGGGATTCTGTTGAATGCCAGCCTTCTCAGATCACTGATATTTGTGGTCTTAACACTAATTACTTTTTGGGCGTTGGCAGTTTTAGGGTGGCAAAACACATGCGAGAGTGTAGAAGACATAGCAGCTACTCTTGCAGCCTTGAATACCGAAATAGACATCAGCATCATGTACCGTGGTCTTGATCCTAAGAGCACATATAGTTTAGCTTCTGTGGTACGTGTTTACTATGTGTTTTTCTTCTGGCTTTCTTATAATCTAACGTTGTTGTTTTGCGATATCTGAAACTACAGGTTTGCTATTATGGACAGCATTATCATTGCTTTGCTTATAGTCATGAACACGATCGGTGGATCATGTATGATGACAAAACTGTGAAGGTAAAGAGTAGTGATTACGTTTGACTTTGGAGGCAGATACATGATTCCACATTTATCACTCGTTTTATGTGTTAACATATATTCAGGTGATCGGTAGCTGGAGTGATGTACTTTCTATGTGCGAGAGAGGACACTTGCAACCACAGGTTCTTCTCTACGAGAAGCAACATTAAACCAAAAAGAAAAAGGGAACAAAAAAAGCAGAGTAAGTGGAGATATGGTGCTGCAGTGTAGAAGATCTCCCAAGTACATACTAAAAAAGGAAGCAAGTACTTCTTTTACAATCAGAGCGAGAGGGAAAAAAAATGATATACTCATCAGTGGTTGAAAGAGGATGGGGGAAGAAAATTTTGTCTTAATGATAAAAGCTAAAAGATTTTCATTGCAGGAGTTACGGAATCTAAAGGTAGTTGGTTTAAGTCATTGTCACATTGAGGATTCTATTCATATAAATCTATGCACTCTTCCTTTTTTTTTGATTCAGACATGTTCTATTAGATCAGATCTGTCTCTAACTAGTAGCAAAATAGAGTGGGAAGTTGGGAGAAAGATTGCATAATAGTCTAGTCCAATAAAAAGTTACCTGTTAGAGACTAAGGGTGTAACTGAAATGATATTTTGGGGTAAAACTTACATGAAAATTAAATTTTCTGGGTTTATCTGTCTAATAGCCAAAAGAAAGAAAAAACAGATTTTAAGAGTCCAATTTCCCTAATTTTTTTTGCATTCCAAAAAATGTTTACCAACTAAAATTGAAAAATTATTCTATTTTATTTTATATTTCGAGAAAAAATAAATTTCAGTTGAAAAATAATTCCACGAAAATGCGTTGGAGTAAGTGGAATGCTAATTCTATTCCATAAAATTCCATAAATAGTACATAAACTACACTCAATAGTTCAAAAAAACCCAAAATTTACAAAGTAACCAAAATTCCATCCTCTCTCTTCTTTCTTGTTCCTATCTCTCTCCAACTTCTTTCTAAAAACTAATTTTCATTTTTTTCTTGGTTATTTCACAAATTGTCTCTAAACGGTAACTCATACAATTCCACATATTCTTTTTATTTATTACCAGCTACACCTAAACTCAAGAGGAAGAAATCTTACATAACCTTTTTTTGGCAAACCATTTCAGAAAATGTCAGAAAACAAGTTGTTTCTCATTCGTTTTTGTTATCTCTCAACGTTTAAACTTTGAATCTGCTTGGGATGACAATTAATACTTACACCATACTTATATATTGTTAACAATTAGCCTATTTATTTTATAATGGGTATTCTCGAGGCTGTGCCTGAGATTTATCTAGTTAGAAGCAGTTGAAAAAAATTTGGCCCCTTAGTTTTAAACTTTCTATAAAGATTTTAATACACAGAAATATCAAAAACAAGATTTAAACAGAAATCTCTTACATACTAAAGCACAAGTCACATGAACAATAAAATTTTGACACATGACATAGTTTTACAGAAAAAAACAAAAAGAACAATAAAACAAAATCAGTCAATCAGTTAATCATTTTTTTTTGTCGACTTTTGCATTTCATAAGCCCGAAGGCACAAGAGTACAACACATAAGTAAAATATTTTACACGTGTAAGCAATAAATAGAGGAACAAGCAAACGTGGCAAACGAAGCATGCAAATCGGAAAACTCCACCACCGGTAGATCTCTGCAACGAACCACCGTCTGAATATCACTTTCACTGCCACAAAGCCTCCAGTACTCCTTAACCTCCAATCTTTCACCAAAGCCGTGGTTTGAATTAGAGCTCCTATCCATACCGACTGTTATAGACAAAGAAAAGACTCAATTGATTTAGTGAGGACTCTTTATCATACAACGATGCCGACTTTGCTGGATCCCCCTTATATCAACCAAGATAAATTCATCATCACAGTCTTCCTTTCCTTCAAGGATACTTTACTCTTACACCCAGGGGCGAATCTAGAAGATTTATGTCATGGGTGCACTATTTATAATAAAAGAAAATACATCACAAGGGGGGTTGAACTTGGGTTATTCATGGGTGCATAGGTTAACATTTACCATCTAATCCAAGAAGTTTTTAACATTTTCTTTAACAAAAATTTAACTTTAAATATTATTGTGGGTGCACAGGACCCCATAATTAATAAGGTGGCTTCGCCACTGCTTACACCAATCTCGGATCCATTCAAGGATGAGTAGAGATTGATTCCTTTATGAAAGGAATATGTGCATAATCGGTAGAGAAGAAGAACCAAACCAAACACACGGGATCTTAATAATTTGTGAAAGGGGCGAAAAAACATATGCAAGATTCTCAAACTTTATTTAGCTTCAAACCATATCAGAGAAAGATAACGAGAGATAAGCGGCTTTGATTTGGTTAAAACCTTATCACACCAAAATCGCCTAACGAAAGATAAGATCACCTAAGCGAAACAAAAGTCAAGCGAAGTCAAAAATCGATCTGGAAGATCGAAACTATTTCACAAACAAAACATAATCAAACTCTCCCTTCTGAAAAGATTTGTATTTGGTAAGAAGGGAGGTTTGAAGAAGAGAGAATTCTCTCTCTCTCTCTAGAGCGAGGAGAGAGACTCTCCAATCGGTTAATCATTTTTATTCCCTATTTCTATGCAACTCTAACTACCTAAATCCCATTTTTTTGAAATTTCTTTCCCACGTTTCAGTTTTCTTCTTCACTATCAAACTGTTTTTTTATATATAGATTGCAATCGACTATGGGATTCTCAAACTCCACTAATAGAGTTTGAACATCATCGAAGAGAAAATGAAAAATGGATGTATATTCAATCTCGTCAGTTACAAAGTTAGTTACTTACAGGTATATATAAGCATATGCTAAACCGGACTAAACCTATCTTAAATTACATGAGTAACATAACCAAAGCTAACCGATATAAACCGGCTAATACCCCCCCTCAAGATGGAGGTGCATAGATATCCAAAACCCCCATCTTGGAAATGAGATCCCGAAATGGTGTAGGATACAATGCCTTCGTCAGGACGTCTGCGATTTGGTTATGAGTTCGAACATGCATAGTCTTGATCATGCCATTATCGATACGCTCACGTATAGTATAACAATCCTGATCAACGTGTTTAGTCCGCTCATGGTAAACAGAGTTATTAGCAATGTGAAGGGAAGCTGTGTTGTCACCATAGAGATGTGTAGGTAACGAAACAGGTATCTGTAACTCCTTCATGATGCGAAGAAGCCATTCAATCTCACAAGAAGCGTCTGCCAAGGCTCTAAACTCTGCTTCTGCTGTGCTTCTAGAGATGGTCCGTTGTTTCTTTGCACGCCAAGTAACCAGAGAATCACCAAAGAACATAGCATAACCAGTGATAGATTTTCGTGAATCAGGACATGAACCCCAATCCGCATCAGCAAAACCTCGTAAGTCAAATGAACCATCTGCCGCGTAGAAAAGACCTTGTCCCACAGTACCTTTGAGATAACGTAGTAGCTTGTGAGCAGCTTTTAAATGAGCGTCGCGGGGGGCAGAAGAATACTGACAAAGCTTTGTGAGAGTGTAAGCAATGTCAGGTCTGGTGATAGCAAGATACATTAGCCGACCCATTAATCTTCTGTAGACTTTAGGTTCAGTTAACAAAGCTCCCATCTCATGAACAACTTTTGATCCATCCTTCGGTGTTATTGTTTCCATCGACAGTCTCACGGTAGGGTCAAGAGGAATAGATGACGGTTTACAACCAAGGAAACCTGTATCATCAAGTAGTTCAAGAATGTACTTCCGTTGACAAACCGAAATGCCCTTAGTAGAACGCGCAATCTCCAATCCCAGAAAGTACTTAGCATCTCCAAGGTTTCGAAGTTTGAAATAAGATTCCAACTCGCCAATGAATCCTGTAACTGCTTCATCATTATTACTCAATACCAGGATGTCATCAACATAAACCAGAACTGCCAAGTATCTTCCATCAACATTCTTGACAAACAGTGTGTGATCATCACGAGACTTCAAGAAACCCATCTTCAAGATGGTAGATGAAAGCTTCAAGTACCACTGCCGTGACGCTTGTTTTAAGCCATACAGAGACTTGTGTAGCCTACAAACAGCGTTAGGTGGAACAGAAACACCTGTTAACTCAACATAACCCGGTGGCAGCTTCATGTAAATCTCCTCGTCTAAGTCACCATTCAGGAATGCATTAGAAATGTCCAGCTGAGTAAGAGTCCACTTCATTTTAGCTGCAACATCAATAAGAATCCGAACAGTGCTCAGTTTTGCCACAGGTGAAAACGTTTCTTGGTAATCCACACCTTCTTCCTGTGTGTACCCTTTACCAACAAGACGACCCTTCTTTCTCTCTTCAGTACCATCTGCATGATACTTAGTCTTGAAAAGCCACTTACAACCAATAGGCTTCTTGTTAGGTGGTAAAGTACAGACACTCCAAGTCTTTGTCCGTTCTTGAGATTCAATCTCCTCCTTCATAGCATTACACCATAACTGATCCAACAGTGCCTCTGAATGATTTTGTGGATCTTTTGTTTTGGTGATAGTATTTATGAAAGTGTGAAAAGGCTCAGAAAGAGAAGAATAAGAAATGTAATTGGTCATTGGATAAGGTGTGGTATGAGAGGAAGAAGCAATATTTGAACAATGGTAATCCTGCAAATAAGCGGGCTTTTTCGTGTTTCGAGTAGATCGTCCTTCAGAAGGAAGAACGTCAGAGGATAACACATCAGTATGAGGATGTGTATCAGAAGATGCTGGTTTAGAGAACTCAGCATCAGGCATGGCAGGTGATGAAACATGAGGAAAGAAAGATTTGACATCATCATTTAAAGATGGTGATGCAAAAGGAAAGATATCCTCATGGAAAAGCACATGACGAGAAATAGAAACAGAATGTGTCTCTATGTCTAGTAGCTTATAACCTTTATAGCCTGAGGGGTATCCTAAGAAAACACATGCTCTCGCTCTAGGATCAAACTTATGTCTATTTTTGGTGGAAGTGCTAACATAACACAAACAACCAAAGGTTTTTAAATGGTCATAATCGGGTTGTTTACCAGTAAGTTTTTCAAAAGGGGATTTATGATCTAAAACAGGGGAAGGTAACCTATTAATAAGGAAAACAGCAGTCAACACACAATCACCCCAAAATTTTAAAGGTACATTTGATTGAAAGAGTAAAGCTCTTGCAACATTTAAAATATGCTGATGTTTTCTTTCGACTACTGAATTTTGCTCAGGTGTTTCAGGACATGAATGATAAGAAATGATTCCTTTAGCCGCAAAAAATTCAGTGAATTTAAGTTCATTAGCATTGTCTGATCTAACAGCTTTAACATTGACATGATATTGATTTTCTACCATCTTAACAAAGTCAGGAAAGATTTGGATAACATCAGATTTTGCACGCATCAAGAAAATCCATGTGGCTCTGCTAAAATCATCAACAATAGTCAAGAAATATTTGGAATTATCAACCGTAGGTTCAGCAAAAGGACCCCAAGTGTCAATGTGTAAAAGATCAAAAGCATTTTTGCTAATGTTTTGTCTAGATTTGAAAGGTAAATGTTTCTGTTTTGATAAATGGCAAACATGACAAAGATCCAAATGAGTTTTATTAAGTTTTGAAATGTGAAGAACATTTGACAA